ATCCAATGTGGGAATGCCATTATGAGGTTGTGCATTATATGCAAATAATTAAATGTACTCGAATGAATTATTCAGCTTCTACTATGTTTACCACACAAACAGACATCGGTCAGATGTATTTCAGGACATTTGTCCAGTTTTTGTGTAGTACTAGTTTCTTATGCATCTACTGTAAAATAAACCCAATGTTACCCATACCATTGTATTAGGGGAAAATCTTCCACTAATACAATGTCCCCTCCAATCCCTTTGAAAGTCAAGTTATTTCCTTAGAATTTTTTCTTTATATTATGCTAGATCACAACAGAAATCATTTAAAGGGCCATGACAACCCACACTTTTGGTTCAAGTCTACCTCAGAATTATTTTTTAAAAGTGCATCATAATGGGTGAGGAACTCCGCGATCAGAGGCAGGAGTGGGCATGGCCAGCAGAGCAGGGGAGAAGGAGGCCAGCGATCAACTGTTGTCAGCTGGTTCACAAAATGAGACACAAACCATGAGGAGACCCCGATTTTATAGTTTACTAAGTTAAAATGTAAAAAAATAAACAGTATTTTAATGACCTGGTAAATTTGTCATTTGTAATTTCATATACACACAACCACAACTTATATTATTATAAAGATAATCGTGTTCATATAAACACCATAAATGAAGACTTTTTCCTCAATCCCCAGGTCTGAATGCAAACCTAGTGCAGCAAGTTCCCTGCCCTTTCAACCAATAGCCCTGCTGGTAATCTGGAATATTTACACGAACACAGCAGCACGGCGATGTGTCTAAATATGAACAAACTCCTGATAAAAGACAAAGTCTTTATCCCCGTGGATCATGGAACCAAACACATACGACCCTTCATGAACGGCTAAATACATCAACATAGGGTCTCACAGCTTGGCACTGGCAGGTCTTGCCTTCGGAAAGCACATGCAGTCATGAATAATTAAGAAGCAAAGTCTTCACATAGGATAAAAAAACTTTGCAATGAATAATAATGAGAAACCGATGCGTCATCTTTGCACTTGCAGTTTTGCGCTATGTCACCAGTTTTGATCCCGCCCCAAAAATCATTTTAAACTCAGAAAAGGAAATTAGCTGACAAAAGCTCAAAATTATCCAGTTTTCCCCACAATTAAAGCCGACAGGTGCTAACATTGTCTTAAGTGATGCTCAACACACTGATCAAATCTATTAAAGTTTCAAAAAAGTACTCCAGGGTTTCTTGAACCTTAGAGTCCCTTCCTCTAGAACTAGGATGGGTCTGTACTTTGTACTTTTATTTAAAAACAAAATCCTATTTATCTTAGAGTCTTTTACAATGTGGATTGTGTCAAAGCAGCTTAACATAGATGAAGTTTTAGTTAATTGAGACTGATTCAGTTTATTCAGTTTGAGTTCAGCTTAGTTCAGTTCTCTTTAGTTTAATGTAAATATCACTGCTGAAGTTAAAAACAGGCGGCATGCTGGCTTAGTAGTTAGCACTGTTGCCTCACAGCAGGGAAGTCGCTGGATAGAGTCCCAGCTGGGTCAGTTGGCATTTCTGTGTGGAGTTTGCATGTTCTCCCTGTGTTTGTGTGGGTTTCCTCCAAGTGCTGCGGTTACCCCCACTGTCCAAAGACATGAGGCTGCGGTTACCCTCACTGTCCAAAGACATGAGGCATTGGTGAACTGAAACTGGCCGTAGTATATGTGTGTGAATGCGAAGGTTTATGGGTGTTTCCCAGTGCTGAGTTGTGACTGGAAGAGCATTCGCTGCATAAAATATATTCAGGATTCCGAAGTCGGTTGTTCATTCCACTGTTGTGACCCCTCATAAATAAAGGGACTAAGCCGAAGGAAAATTAATGAATGAATAAATGGAAGTTGAAAACACTAAAGAGCAACTTCACCGATGCGCCGATCCACTAGTATTTACAGGATGTCATGTCAATATTATTTGCGCTCTGTATATCGCGTGTGGTGAAATTGAGCACATTCCCACCAACAGAACGAAATTGTGCATCGTAATAGGGCTGGATGATCAAATCGATATCGTATTTATTAATAACGATATAAATAAAGTTTGGTATAAAGTTTCGGTATGAAGCGCTATAGTTTTATCAAAATGTGACTGCTGAGCACATGCCATGGAAGCAATGCCAATAAACTTAGGATGTAAGTTTGTTATTTCTAATGGAGGCGCGTGACTTGCACAACATAACCATTTATATTTGAGTAAGCGTGAATAAGGCGAATTATCACCACACAGCAAGAATAATATGAAATGCCCCAATCACGTGTACTGCACAAACTCAAGCAAAGACATTTTTTGAGGTGAAAAAAATGTGGGGACAGTCGTGGCCTAATGGTTAGAGAGTGTGACTTGTAATTCAAAGGTTGCAGGTTTGAGTTGCAGCACCGGCAGTTGTTGGTGGAAAAAATATCCACCTCAATACAACGGTTGAGGTGATTCCCTTGAGCAAGGCACAAACCCCCAACTGCTACCCGGGTGTGTTTATGAGTGTAAGTTGCTTTGATTAAAAGTGTCTGCTACATGTGCGAATAAACTTGAGCATATGCCGCAGTGCTCTGCGTTTGGTGTGAACCCATCATAACAGATAAAAATGCACCCTCTCTCTCAAACACACACACATTCAGTGACATCATGTTAGTCATCGACCAACACTAATGACTTACTTTTTTTCTCAGTCACTTTGGTACATTTCTCATATCGTCCTTGACATTTACAAAACAGTGTTTGATAAATTTCTCAAAACAACTTACAAATATCATGGATTAACTGCAAAAGCCCATCTCTTACTGACAATAACTCTCAAAAATAAATATGTGTCAATAAACATGTCAGGGCCATCAGACTGACAAGTCCTCATGTGTACGAATAAGACAGTGACATTGCTTAGTCATGTTGTAAATATAACAATGTACTCTGGAGGGATGTTCTGATGTGTTGTAAATTGTAGGTTACACCTTAGAATATGTGGGAGTTTAGAGACTGGGCAAGATTCACATTTACACTTTTACTTTTTGTACTGTGTGTCATTGTGATTCATAAAGGAAAAGTCATCACTGCATAGTACAAAGAAAACAAAATAGATATGTAAACAAAGGACAATCATAGGACAGATTTAGAAAAATAAGTAAATGTAAAGAAAATATACTTGACATATTATGACAACTTGCATGCAAATCTTATGCTATGAACTAGAGCCCAAACATTGTGGGGGGTGAGGCTGTTCAACAGAGAACTATTATAATACATATTGATCAACATAACAAAAGCAATTGATAATGTAGGAAACAGCAGAGAATTGTACATAAAATTTCCTTTGATGTACCAAAGCATTTGCAAAATGAGAATGTGTGACACAATGTGAAGAACAGGTACTTTTAACTGTAATAAAATAAAAAATGTATCATAGTGAATGAGAAGTCTGTAGTGAACTGTATTTTACAGTTTTCCTCTATTGGTTTGGCTCATTTCTTGAAACAAAAATCATTCTCAAAACCACTTGGCAATTGTTCACAACAGAATTGAATTTCTCATTCATTTCATCAAATTGCAAATGTCTAAGTACATCTTTGCAAATGATTAAGCACAGATAGCTTACATTTAGCACAATTTCCAAGTGAATAGATCTAGTTGATCTAAAATGATTGTTAATTCTCAGTCTAATGGTTTTTCTCTCCAAAATGTGTCAGCGTCATTTCATTCTATATGTCATTACATGCACAATGGTCAAAATTGTCAAAATTAGTCAATTTTAGTCACCATAATACCATGAATACCATACAGTAGGTGAATCTTTGGAACATTTAATTACAATTTATTACAGCTATTTAGTCTTTTTGCTCTGATATATGATTTACTTTGTGTGTGGTTGATCATTACAATAAAAAAAGGAGTTACCATTTCCCTGGCAGTATGAGTGCAATGTGTGATGTCAAAACTTGGAGGCTACTCTTACCCTACAATCCTATTTCTTTTTTTTTCAGTTTTATGAAGGACTGGGCTAAGCCTGTAAGGTGGACAAGAGGGATATTTTAGTGGTCCTTTGCCACAATGACAAAACATCTAAACATTTTGACCTGCAGTGCTTACACATTACTAAAGGGACGAAGCATTTTGGGGGCACTGACTGTTTAAATGAGAAGGAAATTTAGTTTTGACACATGAGTGAACTGTTTTGAGAAAGGAATGAGCTTTTACAAGTGAGCTATAGTGTTGTGCTAAACTGTAACACTGTTTTGCCAACTGATCTTAGAATTTTGTGAATGTAATTTCTGTTTCAAGAAACGAGCCAAACCAAATAAGAAAATCTGTGATCTAGACTAAGCATGAAAGAAAACGTCTGCTCTGATAATTATTATTTTAAGGCCACTTGACACATAAGAATCAGAATCTATCTAGCCAAAGGATTCATACCTGCACGGCTTTCCTTCTCTTACCTCCTTACCTGGCACTGTAAATACATCAGTCTCCATACCTGTTTGTCTGCTCATGTTTTATCCCTCGTCTCGCCACAGTGGATGGATGGATGAATGGATGGATGGACGGACGGATGGATGATGAATGAATGGATGTATAGATTGTTTGCTATGCTACTGTTTTTGACTGTTTAGTGCTAACATTGTTGTTTTATTAAAAACACACCACAACAGAGCTATGAGTATTTACCTTTAATTGCTTAAATCCCTGCATTTCAGTGTAAGTGGCATAAAGTATAAAGTATATCTAGGTGTTTGTTTTCACAAAATACACACTCTTCACTCTTATACAACAGCATTCTGCTTCGTGCTGGGATGCTAATAGGCCTATCAAGTGCACTGAATGTACTTCATCCACTACATAACACGCAATGTTTTTCAATATTATTGTTTCACTAAAATACCACAATCAAGCATGCTGCATACCACACAAGTGTCCTAACAGAATGCAAACTACAGGCAGACAAATGAAAGTCAGTCTTGATCTTAAATTAAGACTAAGGGGTATCTGACCTGTACTGGGCTTGGAAGTGCTCCTGTACAAAACTGTGTCGAGTTCCGGGCTGCTGTGAGTTTGCTGGGCCAGGGCATGAACTCTCCTCCAATCCCACAGAACCCTGAGAGGTGCAAGCAGAAACAGTGAATGGAACATATATTAGCCATTTTTAGGTTTTGAGTGTATATCTCCAGTTTACACAGAACAAAAAAAAAAATATCAGGTTAAACATTGTAAAAATTGCAAACTTGAAATATCATGCATTGGCCAGTAATTTAAAATCATTTTATAATAAACATTGTAACACCTAAAAATGGTAAACTTTGTTTGCATGGGAGTGTTTTCTTTTTTTTTTTTTGTCATAATAAATTAAATAAATAAGCCTTACTTATAATATTAAAATGATCAACTAATTTACTTTATTGTATTCATAATTTACTTTAATTGTACTTTCTAGAAAAAGTGAGGGTACGATTAAATGTGATTTAATCACCCTATAACTGAAGCCTAACACAATAACTGATGATGCATACATAATTGATGGACATAATTGATAACACTAAAGTCAGCTACAATGTGGCTCATAACGAAAGCTATAGGTGACCCATTATTTAAAAACAGAATTTACGTTGCATCTTCAAAGCTTTTGAAAACAAAAAACATGGCATACATTAGTTGTTTAAATTTATAGGTTATTTATTTAGTATCTGTACTGTATATGACATGGGCCTGCTGGTTAGAACATTTCTGCATTAGTTTGCATGTGTCAAATTGTAAAAGTACACTTTTCAAAAAATAAATAATATCCCATTTGCAATAATAATAATAACAACGATAATAATAATCATCATCATCATCATCATCTTTATCATTGTTATTAAAGTAGGATTTGTTTTCATTTTCTAATAAATAATAAATATTAAATTTAATTTCTTAATAAAAAGCCTCATTATTTATTATGATTTATATATAACATTAGAATACATGTTAGCTATTTAAATTAATTTTATGTTAATTTAGAATAGACTATGAAATAATGTCAATAATATTTCTAAAGGAAACACAGGCCTTGTATGTGCCATTTACATAAAATTGAATTAATATGGAAAACGAGTGCATTTTGTTATCAAGACTAATATTGGATTTAAAAATATTGGATTTATTATTTGTTTTGTTGCGTTTAAACCAATACAACTTGAACAAAGAATTCATGGGGTTCATTTCTATAGAAGTTGTTACCACCCCGTTTAGAGCATCATTATGGACGTTTAACGTGGTTCAAATGATGGAACAGCGACAGAGAAACTAGGGGTTTTGGGAAACACTCATCACTACAAACGATGCATTGTATTATGATAGTTCAGCTGTGAGTTACCTCATTGTTTGGGAAACGCACCACAGGATAGGAACTGACTATTTCAATGCACATCCAAAATTGTGGGGTTAAACATGTCAAGAGAATACAAAATTTCTCCATCTCGAAAGAGGGGGTAATGACTGGCCAGGGACTGGCCCTAACAACTCCATTCATAGTGAGAGGCACATAACCCTTTTCAAGAAGTAAGATGAAATATATTTAAGAGGAAATATTTTCTGTGAAAAAATCTCATATAGTGAAATAGAATAAGAGATGGAGAGAGATCGAGCATAACTTTTAATCTGGCTTTGGGCTCTTTCCTTATTCATATCAGATGAATTGTCAAGCTTTCGGTGCACACTTGAAATAGTACTTTCTCAAACTGGGTCAAAAGCCACTTAGCTGGACTTCAGAACAAAGAATAGATGCCTCACTGAACAAACTGGCCAGTATTTCACTCTCTCTTTCTCTCTCTCTCTTTCAAAACATTTTACCAAAAATATGTTTGATGTAGATAATGTGCCGATAGTGAGGGTCTACATTTAACTTTCTAAAAATAAAACACAAATGGTGTATAACACAAATGTTGGAGCATGCTGTTCACAGTCAGACAAGGCAACTAATAATGTCTAAAGCATATTGTGAAAATTCTCAAATTCCATAATATCATCTAATTTCCATTCTTTGGCAGCATTTTTATAAAATCAGAACTGATTAAAATGTTTGTTGACACAAAATACAGCAAAAAATCTATTTGACTTCAGATGGACAGAATGCAGAGTGAATTGGTCTGCTGTTACAGAAATCCTTTAACAGTATTCATTCATTCATTTTCTTTTCGGCTTAGTCCCTTTATTAATCTGGTGTCACAACAGCGGAATCAACCACCAACTTATCCAGCATATTTTTTATGCAGCACATGCCTTTCCAACTGCCACCCATTACTGGGAAACACCTATACACTCCCATTCACACATACACTAGACAATTGAGCCTACCCAATTCAAATATAGCGCATGTCTTAGGACTTATGGGGGAACCCGGAGCAACCAAAGGAAACCCACACCAACACCGGTAGAACATGCAAACTTCGCACAGAAATGCCAACTGACCCAGCCGAGGCTCAAACCAGTGACTTTCTTGCTGTTAGGTGACAGTGCTACCGTCTGTGCCACCGTGTTGCTCAAGATAACAGTATGCCAAAAAACATTTTTCATGTTTTTATAGCTCTAATATAAATGTGCACCTCATGTCCATGTAGCTACTGTTATCAGTACTGTATATCTCATCACATAACTTGGGAAGAGGTTTAAATGAATTATTGCCTTTAAACAGAACCAAGGTCAAACAGATACCCATCACTAGCAGCATCAGCAAAACAATAGATACCGCTAGACCACACAGATACTCATGGGTATTAGATATCAGAATGTTTCATTCAGCAGACAAACTCCAGCCCATGCAAGGACTTGCCCTTGCAGAGGAACTGCTGTTGTTAACATTGACTGTCCTCTAGTGAAAATCAATGTTTTTCTTAAATCATTTCTGATTGAGGTAAGATTAGGTAAGAATGAGTATTTCATATATAAAAGCTGTTGTTACTTTCTGCTGTGAGCTGTTCAATGGACAATGAAATGCAAAGAACTGGGAAAAGAAATGTGGAGAAATGGAAAAGAGTTGTGAGCAAGTGGTGGAAAAAAGTGAAGATGTAAGGAAAGAAATTTAAAGAAAGAGGGGTTGTGAGGACAAAAAACTACTGAGCTAATAGGAAGCAAAGGAATAAGGACAGGATGAGTTGTGTAGGGGTGAAGGATTATGAAGAACAAAGAACTTGTTCCACTGTGGAAAGTTGTGGAAAAGTGGTGGAAGGAAACAGGGAACGGTGGAAAAAAGCTAAGGGAAACTGTATAATTACTATAGAAATTGGGGAAATTGGGGAAGGAGCTTAATACAAGTTGTGTAAAGCCAGGGACACACCAAGTCGACGACAAAGAGCAAAGATGTTGTCACTTTACATAGGCTAGTCCCAGCTGGAACAAGAAACTGGTGAACACACCAAACGGGGGACAATTCTCTAAAACCAGAATGTGTGTTCTGCATCTGCGTGAGAGAATGTACGGTTTATTTGTCCACATGTCCAAATGTGGCAGTAGTTTGCACTGTAAATTAAACAAAGGGAAACCAGAACTAGTGCTGCATACATACAAACTACAGAACCAGCATTCATTTTCCATTTTTACAGCACTTCTCACTCACCACAGAGGAATTCACATGTGCTAATATTTTAGATAATCTCATGATCCATTCATTTTTTCATTTTCCTTCGGCTTTTCCCTTTATTCATCAGGAGTCACCACAGTGAAAAGAACCACCAACTTATCCAGCATGTGTTTTACACAATGAATGCCTTTTTTCAACTGCAACCCAGTACTGGGAAACAGCCATACACACTCATTCACACACATACACTATGGTCAATTTAGTTCAATTCACTAATACCTGCATGTCTTTGGATTGTGAGGGAAACCGGAGCACCTGGAGGAAACCTACATGAACACGAGCAGAACATGCAAGTTCCACACAGAAATGCCAACTGACCCAGCCAGGACTCGAATCAGTGACGTTCTTGCTGTGAGGCGACAGTGCTAACCACCATGTCGCCCCCTGATTGTTCATATCATTTGCAAATATTTAATAAAAGTGACAGAATGACAGCCATCTTATTTGTGTTCCCTCTTGACTTGCATCATTTTTGTCACTTCAACTTTTGTTCTCACGTTCTGATTCGGCCTACACCAATCCAACATGCTGAATTAAACATCAAACTCCCCTGATGTGAGAGCGGAAAGAGGCGATGTGCAGAACAAATGACACAAACTAGCCTATGTGAAGCGATCACCAGCGGTCTGACACTGCCTAAAGGCCGACTGTCAACTTAGTGTGTCCCGGCCTTAAAGTGGGATAAGGGAACTGTGGGAAGAGTATAAGGCCATATCCCAAATCTATTTTTGTACCCTTGAAACACAGTGTGAAGAGGAAGGGCTTTAAAAATGACTCCTAAAAAAATGGAACACCAGTTCAACACCTGCTCACGTCATCACATGCCATCTCAATCTCTAGCTTCAAATGAGATCAACAATCGCAACTGCTGTAGTGATTCCAGTTGTGTTATTTTTTGTTGTTTATTTTATGGAAATCACAGAAGGCAACAATATCATGTTATCATAACGATTTGGCGTAGCAATAAGATCTTAACTGTACTGAGTATTTACACAGTGACCATATTCATCTATGTAAACACAGGAAAACAACATTAACATTATAGCTGACACTGTAAAAAGCCCATTCCAAGCCACTAAACTTTTTTGATAAGGTATTTGAGTTTCATCGAGTGTCAGAAGTGAAAGTATGTTGTGGGACTACTATACAGGAGTTATTATTAGGCATTATAGATAGCAAAATATGGCGTTTTTTATTTTAGCGCTTTTTTAAGCATGATTGTAACACACAAACACTATAATGAATGTATTAAACATATGCTTGTTTGTCGTAAAAATTCGTAATAATGACAAAAAAATATTAATTTGTGCATCTCCTTTCTTTCGTGTGCAGCCGTTGTAGCTGATGTATTCATGCGAAAATTGCATACCCTTTGGTTTTGAGTGTGGTCCTTAAAAATCTCAGTTTCAAGGGCTATCTAGCCCTTCCCC